GGCGGCTATCCAAGAGACAATGTGGACTAACTCCAGCAACGTCCCTTCCTATGCCAACTACACGATCGTCCGTCGCGACCGCGGTCGCAACAACGACGCAGGTTTGGCCTTCTTGGTGGACAAATCCATTGCCCCCCATCAGCTCCCTATGCCTAGTGCCGACCCCATGGAAGTATTAGCGATTTTGTTCGACGTTGGCCAGGCGCCTCTAAACGTCGTGAACGTCTACATCCCTCCAAGTTCCAGTTAACCTCCCGGTTTTACCGCCTCCATCGCTCCCTACCTACCTTCTGGAGACAGTTTGCTGCTAGGTGGTTTCAATGCCCGACATGACCTGTGGTGCTCTAACTTGACGGCCCATGAATTAGAACACGATCCTTTCGCAGCCCTCAACGAGGACAGCACAACGGTCCTCCCTTTAACCCGATGTTTCCCTCCCAAGTCTCAACCTGGTAGTTTTCACCATGTGGAACACGGAAATTAGCTTAAGGAGCGATCACCTCCCTATACTACTGGAATTGGCCGCCGCCGCCGACCGTAGCAAGGCCTCAAACAAGCACTTCAACTACAAGCGAGCCGATTGGGCAGCTTTTACCGCTGGATGGGAAGCTTTGATCGATCTCCTACCGCCTCCAACTTGCGTCCATACGTCGGAGCGAGCCCTTCGTCAACTGCATCTGGCAGTAGCAAGTCACCACATCCCGAACGGTCGCATTCCCCTACTTCGTCCCAACTATTCGACTCAAAGCGAGAGAGATGATATACGAGCAGGTTATGCCAATGACCCGCGCATCGGCCAACTGAACGGCTTGATCGCCAGGACCGTCAACGACGACAAAGATCAACGCTAGCACGAACTAGTTGCAGATTGCAATTTCCACGGCAACTCAGCTGCCACTTGTAAACTTCTACGCAATCTAACCAAGCCCCGGGTTGACACATCTAACCAATCTATTAGCTTCGGGGACTGCCACTTCATTTCGAACAATGGTAAGATCGCCACAAAGATGAATAAATTGTTCTCGCCCCGCTCGGTGCCCAGTCCCAAAAGCCAGTGCTCCCTTCGTCAACTCCTCCATAAAGCCCCGCCCCCGGACATTTCGCTCTCTGCAGATGCTATCCTCACTGACGACAGGAAAACGAAAGCGTCGAAAGCCCTAGGAACAGATGGCCGGGCTCCTATTCATTTGCACCACATTGACCCTAAGGTGGCGGCCTGCATCGCTGCCCTTTTCAATCTCTCATTGGCTAACTCAATCATACCCGATTTTGGCGCTACTCAATTATTATCACTCTGGTGAAAGTGGGTAAAGACCCTAGTCTAGCGACCTTGTATCGCTCAATTTTCCTCCCCAGTCCACTGGCGAAGATCCTGGAACGGCTGATACATCCAATTCTGTCGCTTCCGGTAGATCTGTCTTGCCAGATCAG